GGGGAGACTTTGCTTAGGAAAAGTCTATTACAGGTGAGGGTAGGCTTAGCTCAGGTCAGGGACCTGGGGTGTTTTTCTGAGAAGTGAATGACTTGTTTATTGGTAGAGCTGTTTCCTGGAATATACTGTGGGGAGGGGGGAACTGACAGAAAATGCCTAGAAACGGATTAAATAGAGTCACCCTTATAAATGAGTCAGGTGAAACCGCTCTTGCTCATTTGACAGGGGTCTAGGGTAGGCCAAAAGTGTTTTCTGGAGGAATTCCTTTGTTACATGGAAAGTGGTTTCTTTTCACCCCCTCTTTCCCTGTTGTTGAGAATGTTATTGTTGTTGTCATGTGCCATCGATGTGCCATTGAGTTACCTAAGACTCACAGCAACCTTATGCACTATTGCTCTGAACTCTCTTATCTTGAGCCTGTCTTGCTGTCTCTGACATAGCTACCCCCATTACTCTAGTTACTGTGATAATCCACCTCATCTAGAGTCTTCCTCTCCAGAGATGTCCCTTCACTTTTCTGAACATGATATTCTTCTCCAAGGACTGGTCCTTCCAGACAACACAGTCAAAATATGTGAAATGGAGACTGAAAAGTTCTGGAGACATGACACATCCTGGATGTACTTCTTCCTCGGTTTTGAACCATGCAATGTTTCCTTGCTCTGTTCTGATGACTGTTTCTTGGTCCGAATATAGGTTTTGCATGAGCACAATCAGGTATCCCATTCTTCTCCATGATAGCCAGAGTTTGTTGTTATCCACACAGTCAAATGCCTTTGTATAGTCAACAAAACACAGACAGACGTTCCTCTGGTATTCTCTACTCTCAGCCAAGATACACTTGATATTGGCTATGATGTCTCAAGTGCCACATCCTCTTCCAAACCCAGCTTATATTTCTAGTAGTTCTCTGTTACTGTACTGTTTCAGTCATTTTTGGACAATCATCAACAGGATTTTGCTTGCATGAGATATTAGTGATATATTGTTTAATAATTTCCACACTGTGTTGGATCACCTTTTTTTTGGAGAAGAATACACACAGCAAAACAACCAACAGTTTCTACATGTATAATTCAGGGACAATGACTACGTTCTTTAAGTTGTGTAACCATTCTAAACCTCATTTTCTAAGTTGCTCCCAATTAGCATAAACTCACTGCCCTGTAAAGTCCCTATCTAGACTTTTGAGTTGTGCCTGTCAATTTGATTGCATACCGTTAACTGTGTATTTGATTGCATATAGATAGTATGCATGAGAAAGGTAGATGACTAAGAACTGATGCCTTTGAATTGTAGTGTTAGTGAAGAGTACTGAATATACTATGGAGTGCTGAAAGAACTGAAGAGCAAGGCTGTCAGTTTAAAGACTAAGGTGTGTCTGATCTGACCCCAAGGTATTTTCAATTGCTTCCTATGCATCTGAAAATTGGAGAGTAAATAAAGACGACAGAAGAAGAATCAATGCCTTTGAATTGTGTATTGGAGCAGAGTATTGACTATACCATGGAATGTCACAAGAACAAGCATGTCTGCCTTAAGAAGAGCAACCAGGGTGCTCCTTTGAGCCAAAAATGATGAAACTTGGTGTCACATATTTTGGACACATCAGGAGGGACCAGTTATTGGAGAAGAGAACGTCATCCTGGGAAAGGTGGAGGGTCTGTGAAAGAAAGGAAGATCCTCAACAAGATGGACTGACACAGTGACCAGATAATGGACTTGACAGAGAGCATGAGGATGATGCAAGGTTCAGATTACAGGGTTGCTCGGAGTTGGAGTTGACTTGATGGGACCTAATAACAACAACAGCCAAAAGAACAAACACTTCTGTGTTGGATGAAGTGCCACCAGGGTGCTCCTTAGAGCATCATGCCAAGAAAAGTAGAGACTCAGTGAATCAGATGAAGAACTTCAACAAGATGGACTGAACCAGTGACTGCAAAAATGGGTTTAAGTTCTGTGGAGATTGTAAGGATGACCCACAGAGGGCAAGGTTCAGATCTGTGGTTTTCCAGGTCACTAGGAGTTGTAGTTGGCTTGACAACACCTAACATGGATAGTTCTTAAGAAAGCCTAATGCTTACGGCAGACTTTTTAACTACTTAAGCTCTACTATTGCTTGGTTTTAGGAGGACTGACTGCAGGGGATATTTTTGGTTTAAGGTTTAATGGCGATCTTGGACTAAATAGTTTTCCATTCAGCCTTCCAGTTCTCTGGGGTGATGTCTGACAAACTGACAGTCGAGTGGGAGGATGCACACACTGCCATGACTTAACACATTTTTCAGTAACATAGATTTAAGATATATTTGAAAAAGCATTTTCTTCCCTTCCTATTAATCACATTAATGAGATTGTACTGTACTTAGATAAGACAATCTATTAGTGTGATCATTACCAGGGAACTGAGTGAAATTAATTTGTTTAACAAATATCTATTGAATTTTTACTAAGTGCCTGATACTTGACAGAAAAAAAAAAAAAAACTAAACAGATAAGAGCTCTCTGCTCCTGGGCCTTGTATTTTGGTAGAGAAAAAGGTCACACAAGAATCTTATGTACTATAAATGCTAATAAGAAAAGTAATCCCTGTGGCACTGAATCACTCCTAGCCGAAAGGCCACGATTCTCTGGTGCTTTGAATCCACCACTTGCTCCAGGGGAGAAAGACAGACAATCTCTTCCTGTGTCATTTACAGCCTCCCTCTGGAAATCTACTAGAGGGTTAGCTGTGAGTCAGTTTCAAATCAACAACAATGACTTTTGCTTTTTTTTTTTTTTTACATTAATAAGAAAACTGACTAGATCAAGAGGGATGAGAGGGTTAAAGGAGACTTCTACAATAAAGAGTCCTCATGGGACGGAAGCCCAATGAGAACTGGATACCAAACATCCAAGGAAAGAAAAGGTGAGACTGAAGGTGGCTTAGTGCATCCGAGGTCCAGGAAGGATGTCAGTTTGATTGAGGAGAGTGGGCAACTGGGCAAGAGTAGCCAGACGATGCAGGACAGAGAGAACTTACTGAAAGACTTTAATTTGAATGAGATGGAGGGTTAGCACAAAGCTGTGAGAAAAGTCTGATATGATGACATGATTAGAGTGATAAATATCACTTGGAAGTTATAAATGAAAATCTGTGAAACAAGTACTTGTGAAATCAGCCAAATGAGATACATCCTGCACTGATGCGTAAACCAAACCAACACACATTTGTCACATTACGTATTTTGCCCTTAAGTAATATACAAGACACACACATACAAGTTTAACTCCAAATGGCTGGGAAAAAATGCAAAAGAGTCCATCTACTCCAACTCCCTGAACAGTGATTTTCAAAATATATGTTGTTGTTGTTGTTATGTGCCATTGAGTCGCCTGCGACTCATAGCGAACCTATGCACAACAGCCCTAAACTCTGCTCTGTCCTGTGCCAATCGCACTGTCTCTGACACTCCCATCTCAATTATCCCAGTCACTGAATCAACCCACCTCATGGAGTGCCTTCCTCTCCTGCGCTGTCCCTCCACCCTCCCAAGCATGATGTCCCTCTCCAAGGACCGGTCTCTCCTCACAA